GACGTAAAACAAGTATGTTTTGTTTGTATTCGTTTATGTATGTGTTTACTTGTGTTTTTACAAGTTGAAATTGGACCTGTTTTAAATTCTAAAATTTTCACTTTTCAACTTGTTTAATTCACTTTCAACCGTTTGTTTTGTTATGTCAATTTGTGTTTTTATGCAATCTTGTCGTGTTTAGCTTGAGGAAGTTTGTATGTTGTAAATATTGTATGTTTGAGGTTGTGTAGGTGTAAGTGGAGCTTGTATAGCAGCTGCACCAGTTGTCCTATTTTTTTATAACTGGTGTAGCGCGCTTAGCATGCTCTGTGTCGCTTAGCGCGCCCTGCTGTGCAAAACCAGTGAATTCTTTTTAATTTTTCACTTGGCTCTCCTTTTTCCCAATTCACCTAAGGCTTTATAGTATAGTAATTAATAGTAATATTTTTAATTCTTTCTATTGTTGTTTTGACTCAAATTTTAGTTAGATAGCTTGAAGTCACATTTGGTGATTTTCCGATTTTGAGTGTGTCAACTTGCGGATGTATGGTAATGATAGTTTTTGAAGTTGGTACTCTCCAGGTACTCGTTTATCGCTTTCTATAGCATAACATGTTTAAAAAACTTATCATTTGTATAATTACCATACCATTCATTCTTTTTGCATTACTTGCTTTTGATTGAATCACTTTAGTCCCCTTTTTACCCATAAATGTGAGGAAGCTTTCAATTGTTCACATATACTGGAGGCCATAATTCTTATTTTAACTGGATTTTATTATGTTTAATCTTTTGTTTGTGTTGATTGTATGAAAGCATGAACATGATCAATGTATTTTTTGTTTCATTTTGAGCACAACTACCTTGGCCAAATATTCAATTCATCTTGTGAGTGTGTGATCATTAGTACCCCCTTTGACCCTTTTTGTCGATATCCATGTTGTTTTTGCTAAATGCTTGTCTATGAGTGTTTGGTTCATATTTTTGTATGAATATGATTCTTTGTTTTCTTGAACCCTCAACTATGATTTGTAGTTTGAATTTTTACCTTGCCTTAGAAAGTAGGGAGTATTCACATTATGATATGGTTGAATTCAAGTTGGGGGGAGAATTGTTTGCTTGCTCTTGTGTGTATTACTATGAGATTGAGAAAGAAAGAGAAAAAGAAAGAAAAAAAGTGAAAAAGAAAGAAAAAAAGTGAAAAATAAATAAAAGAAAAAAAAAAAAAAAAAAGAGAAAAGTTTTGAAAAACAAAAACAAAAAGAGTTCAAATAATGTTGTGATAATAAGTAATATGTGTTGGTTTGAAATTTGGAATGAAGAAGAAGTTTGATGGAAATTATTTTGCTTGAGTCTTTGTGAGTTGATCACTCCCTTAGGTTAGGGAAATTTTTTGTTTCGATTAGCTTTAGGACTTATCCCTTGTTTATTAACCAACCACATTACAACCTTAAAAAGCCCTTGTGACTCTTGCCTTTGTATTTTTAATATTATTTTTTGGATGAATGCATAATTTAGTCTATTGTTTGCAAGATTGTGGATGGGTGTTTTTTGTCCTTCACTTTTGTGTGTTCTTCATCTACCAAAAAAAAATTACTAGGCGTGATTTATGATTGAGCTTGTTTTGTTTTAGAATGTTTAGTAGGATTTTTTTACTTAGGGTTCATTTCGTTTACATGTTGTCGTTGTAAGATTGTGGTAAGTATTTATCTTGCGTGTGCGTTTTTGTTTGAACTATACATTTGTTTTCTGTTTTTAACACTTGTTGATTCATGATATTTTGGTTGATTACTTTTAGTTCTTTGAGTTGTTTGGCCTTGTTTGAGGATAAACAAGTTCAAGTTGGGAAGAGTTTGATAAGTGCAAATTGTAGTTATTTTTGTATATACTTTTTGTTGCACTTATCAACTCTTTATTGTTAATATCGTTGAATAAACCTGGCTTTTGTGTAAATACGTTTAGTTTGTGTTTATTTGTGTACATAGTGTACCATTTGATGTTTTTCCATTCATTTTTTAAGTATTTGTTGCATTTTGGAGCATTGAGGAATAAGGTGTCAAAGGCATGGCTCCGGATGCGTGTTTTCGGAATAAAAGACCAGTTTTGAGAAGTTTTGCCTAGGAGAGCCCGCTTAGCGTGCAGAAGGCCTCTAAGTGCGAGTGCGTTCAGCACATTTTATATAGTGTTGCTTGCGTTTTGACATTTTAGCAGAAGCTTAATTTTGAAGTCCGCTTAGCGCGGATAACACGTTTAGCGCGGTTTAGGTCAGTTTAATGTGTAAATATCGTGCAGCCCGCTTAGCGCGGTAAGCCTGCTAAGTGCGGTCTGCTCAGATTTGTTTTATAACTTCTTTTTCAATTTATTTTTTGTTATGGTTTTAGGGAAGTTTTTGCTCCCAACTCCACCAACCTCCGATTTTGTTAGGATTAACTTAGATAACAACTATAGAGCATACATACGGATGATCCGGGGTGGATTACTCTTCGATCAATGCTGATAAACCGGTAGGTCTATAGTTCATTTCTCTTTTTCTTTGTGTATTCTCTTTTGGTTGGGTTTGTATATGTAATTACTTTGAGCTTATGTATATTTGTCACCCTTGGCGTTATATAAAACTTGCTTTACAAATATTTGTCGTTTGTTATCCTGGATTTTTGCTCAGTGCTAGGGATTTGAGTTGTTATAGATATACACTGCTTGGATTCTTATCTAGGATGGTTATCTAATAATGTTCGAATTCTAGAGATAAATTTAGAGATGTTATTCACTTAGAGTGTCTGTGATTAATGCCTCTGTGTTGTTTGTGTCGCTCTGAGAGATCATCGATGCAAGCGAGCACAGTTGACTTCTTTGTTATTAAGGTTGGTTGAGAGATCACTGCCGAGGTGATAGAGTGGGTGTTGTGTTTAACATGTGATGACATTGTTGAATATTGTAGGTTTAGTATAACAAGTCGATAAGTTTAGTGTGGGATGAAATTTGTCTAATGTGAACACTGCTGCTAAAAGTTCCTTTTCAGTTCTGGCATAATTCGTTTGTGTTGCGTCTAGAGTTCCATTCGCATAATATATGACATGAATTTTTTTATCTTTCCGCTGTCCTAGGACAACACCTATAGCGTAATTGCTTGTGTCACACATTATTTCGAACGGTTCACTTCAATCTAGAGGTTGCATAATGGATGTTGATATTAATGCTTGTTTAAGTGTTTGAAATGCTTCTAAACATTTCTCATCAAATACGAATTCAACGTCTTTCATCAATAGCTTAGTTAGTGGTTTAGTTATTTTAGAGAAATCTTTAATGAAACGTCGATAGAAACTGGTGTGGCCTAAAAAGCTTCTTATTTCTCTAACAATTTTGAGAGGTTAAAGGTTTTCTATGACTTTAATTTTTGCTTTATCGACTTCAATCCCCTTGTCGAACACTATGTGTCCAAGTACAATTCCTTGTCGGACCATGAAATGGAATTTTTCCCAGTTTAACACTAGAATAACACTTACACATCTTTCAAGTACCATTTCGAGGTTTGATAGGAATCCTTCAAAGCTCCACCCATAGAGAGAGAAATCATCCATAAAAAATTCTATTATATCATCTAAAAAATCAGTGAAGATTGACACCATGTTTCTCTGAAATGTGGCAGGAGCGTTACACAGTCCAAACGACATTCTCCGATAGGAAAATGTACCATAAGGACATGTGAAGGTAGTCTTTTCTTGGTCATCAAGATGAATAAGGATTTGTAAAAATCCTGAATATCCATCTAAATAGCAGAAATGGGAGTGTTTATCCAGATGTTCAAGCATTAGATCAATGAAGGGTAAAGATAAATGATCCTTGCAAGTGGATTTGTTTAGATTTCTATAATCGATGCATATTCTTCATCCCGTTTGAGTATGTTGTGCTACAAATTTGCCTTTTGCATTACTAACAACTGTAACACCTCCATTCTTTGGAACAACATGTACTAGGCTAACCCATTTACTGTCGGATATCAGATATATGATTCCTGCTTCTTGTGATACGGTGGGAGAACTGACTTGGGTTTTGCGTTTGTTTTCGCAAATGTTTCGGTTGAGCAAGAGTCGCCACCGACTTTTTATTTTATCCTAAGGAAAGGTTAAAAAGCACAGCAAAAACCTTTGAGATGTTTTCTTGGGTTCGGGGAGTAGTTTATAGAAAGGGAAGGTATTATCACCCTTTCTATCCATGGTTATCCATGGGCTCCTAGTTACTTTCTTAGATCACTCACTACAAGAAAATTAGTGTTTAACGACACAAAAATTGCGACAGTTATGTGATAACTGTCGTAATTGACATATAGAGACAGTGTTTACGACAGTTGACACCAACCGTCCCTAATATTTATTTTGCGACGGTATATTTAACCATCATAATATTATTATTACGACGGTAAAACAACCGTCGGCCTCCATTTAACACTTTTAACATTGATTTTTCACCAACAACTAGTCACGACGGTAAAATTAACCGTCCTAAAAGGCATATCACGACGGTAAAGCACCTGTCGCACCCTTAAACCTTTCACGACGGTAAAATTATCCGTCCTAAAATTTATTTCACGACGGTAAAACAACCGTCGCACCCAAAACCTTTAAAAATTCTTTTTATGATTTTTTAGGTTTTCTAATTTGTTGTTTTAGGGTTTGATTTGATTATTAGATTAAATATGCAATAAAATGTGAAAGGCTAACCTCTTAGCATTACTTCCTCTCTCTATGATTCCTCTTTCTTTCTTCTACATTTCTCAAAACTGGAACTAAAAAACTCCAATTTCCTCTTCAGTTCATGACAATCCCGCAACAACAAAAAAAGACAGAACACATGAGGTTTACCAACACGATTCCAACTTGTGTCGATGGATAATTTGGCCGGCGGCTTTGGTGTGTGTGACGATCGGAGTTTATGGCCGAAGCAATAGCGGCGGCCGGTGGTAGTTGAGAGGATGATGGCGGATTGTTGAGCAGCAGAGGGACCTCACATCGGCTGTGTATGCTATGTGGAGAGAGACAGTGTGCGTTGTGGTTGTGTGGGTCATACGGAGGTGGCTGATGCAGAGAGGGTCTCTATGTTTGCGGAGATGTGGCTATGACCCAACAAGGGCACCATTGTGGTTGGTGACAGTGACCAGTTATGCACGGTGGCTGGTCGGTGGTGACATTATGTATGGCGTGGATTCGAATCTGTATGTGTCGGTCTCGAGGTATCATTCTGGCGAACAAGCTTTTGGTTTCTACTTCAATATCCTTTCTTTTGCATATAGAAACTTGGATTATATTTATGTGTTATGATATTGTATTATGGTTTTCGACAGGTTGTATGAATTAATGGTGATTTGTTTTGACAAGTTTGGCTTATGGTGAAAATAGAGTTTATGTTTGGTTTTATGGGCTGTTATTGTTGTGATTTGTTATGATAAAAAATGGTGGATGATAGGTAGAATGATTTTATCAAATACCACTTGATTTATCAGAAATAAAGAATGACTTATTGTTGGATTTTTGTTAAATTGTATGTGGAATAAATTGTGTAATCGATAGATATTTGTAGTGATATAAATGTGAAAGGGATGTGTATACTATGTACAAGATTTAGTGTGAGAGTGTTAGTTGTAGTGTAAAAAGTGGAAAATTGTTAAGAAATTGGTGAATGAGAATAGGTGTATGTGATTGATGGTTGGGACACTAGAAGCAAAACGTGAATTAAAAAAATAGTGTGGAGGATATGTGAACAATGTCAATTGTGTTAACAAATAATATAATGAGTTGATTTAAAGAAAGCTCCATCAGAGAGCGCCATCAGAGAATTGGTATTACAGGATACTGCTGCTTATGACAGGTCAGTTGGAAAATGCAACAGTTGCTGTTGATGCATTGTCTGTATGGTAAGTTATTAGTGAGTAACAAGTATTTGAGATTTACAAGTTTTATATTTATTAGTTATTACAGTATTGGAATTGGTTTTGCAGTATGACTATCAATGAATTGGAATTGATTCCATTTGCCTTCTTTGCCTTCTGGTGCTCATGCTATTGCTGGTTCTTTAGAGAAACTTGTTGGTGGTCTTGATGGTTCGATGAGTCAGCGAGATGCTAGTTTAGAGTCCATAGCTACAATTCTTAAAAATAATCCAGGTGCTGTCTCGAAGTTTGTGGAGCTTCAAAATGGAAGAGCGCTGCGTTCTGTAATTGAATTAACCAGGGATCGATTCTCCCGGACAAGGTTACTGGCATGCTTGTGCCTGATCTGTATAAAGAATTCTTCATCGTGCTTTCTGCAAGATATAGCGATCAAAACCAAATTGATATATATTTTGCTTGAGCTCCTTGATGATTCTGGTCAAGTTGGAGAAGAGGCTTCCTTTGCTTTTTCGAGTTTAGTTGCTGGAAAGGAAGATTTGCAGAAGTTAGCATTTGAGGCGAATGCTATAGACAAATTCTACAATCACTTGCAAAATCCTGAATTAAATTCCAAGCGTCTTGAAGGGATATTTCTAGCACTGGGCGATCTTTGCTCAAAATTGGAATGCTGCAGGTCGAGGTTTATGTCATTGCAGGTTTGTTGTTTCTTGGACACTACTAGCTAATCTCATGTATTTGTTACTAATAGTTGATTTTGTAATCCCCCTCCCAATTTCATATACAACCGTGTTCTTTGCTGCAAAAGTAACCGGTGAAAAAAAGAAAAACTGTAGTTATCCTTTCTTATGATTGGGTTCACACTGAAGTAGTTAATTCGAGATTTTACGCAAAATTTGAAAGAGGAAGTAAAATCGTAAATCGTGGAATCATAACATTAATTGCAAGATTATACAAAATTCTAAAACTCATGTTTATGCATATAGCATTATTACTAAGATTGGGAGAGGGTAGCAAGATCTTAAAACATAAGATCGTAACTAAGATCGGAAGATCCCACCCAATTATTTTGTAAGATCGTAAAATATAAAATTGTAACAAAAATCACAAGATCCTACTAAAACAAAAACTAATACTATATATTTGAAATATTTTTACACTATTTTGGCAGGCTAGTGTATTCGTGAAAATGACCCTCTTTCATATTCTTTATACATGTATGATTGTGAGTGGCAGGATCGTTGCACTATTGTAAAAATTGCAGCAAAATCGGGGTCTAGAAATCTGGCCGTTATTTCTTTCCCACAAAGAATCTTATTTTTTTAATTGAAAGGGATCCGGGTCTGGAGAAAACCCAGAACCATGTTTTGTGCGATGGTAGTGACGGCCGGCCTGTTTACTTTGCTCCTATCAAGTCAACCATCAGTACAATTAGGGTTTTCTAAGTGGGCCAAGCATGCCTAATTCCTCTCCTCTCCTCTCTTTCTTTTCTTTCTTTTTCTAGGGGGCATTGTTGTTACGGCCCACAGTTAAACTATATTTTTTTCAACTGTACCAGCATCACTATTAGTTTAATATTATTATTTATGGATTATTTTCTTTATATATCTTATTTTTATGGTTATAAACTTGGTTTGTTTTTGTGATTTTGAGGTTATTTACTTCATCTATGATAATTTTTATGCATGTGTATATAATAGCTATATATTTAAGTATATACTTTTCCCTTAATAGTAGGCTCTTACTATCCTTGCTAAGGTTTCTAAAACATACTATATTCTTACTAGCAGTACTTGCTTAGATCATGTGTAAAGAGTTTACATGTAAATAGTCTTTGCTTATATTTTCAGCAGAACCGATATAACTGTGATATCCTGTTTACATACCAGTTGGCTAATTACTTATCTATGATTATTTCATTGTAAATTTGTAATGAAAAGTCTGGCACAAAGACTGAAATTTGACTACCTTTAACAAGATTGTTGACAAGGGGTTATGGTACTGAATTGGATACTGTTGATGATATAATTTTGTTGTTGTCTTTCATGGCACCAAAATTGTGTTTTAATTAATGCAATGTGTTTCTCTTCCAGATGCATGATAATTTTGTGGCTGTATAAGTATTCAATATTGTGATAGCAAAATTTGCATTGGTAAACCATGTACTCAGATACTAAGTCAGCTTACAACTCGTATTACACCTTTTCTGAATACAGGTCTTAAATCTATTAGTTAATGCCTTGACCCATGATGAAGCCAATGTGCGCACTGCAGCTTGCATTTGCTTAAAAACTGTCTCACGCTCAATCAAGGTATGCTACTTGTGACTAATAGGATTTCATATCTTTTATGTTATTTATAGCTTAGTTCTCATGAAATGCCATTCAGAATTTGAGTGCAGGTTATTTCATGAATGAAAGGATTGTCATTCCATTAGTCCGGCTTCTCTCTGATCTTTTCACTTCTGTCCAAGTACGTCTAAACATATCTATACTTTTTTTTCTTTCTTGTATTAAAGTTAAAGTTAGTCCTTTGTAGCTTTCTTTCATTAAGAAATGCATAAATGAATCTGTCAGTCGTGCTGAGTGATTGGAATCTAAACTTACAAAATCTGAGGGTTAAGTTAAAATTCAATTTGATATGTACCTTTTTAGATATATAATTTGGCTCTATTCTCTTGCCTGTTCATGTAGATTAAGCTTGAAATTGAATTAGTTCAGAGATCAAGTTTTTTGCTTGACCACTTGGTTAATTAGTTATATGGTTGAGCGATATGCCTTTAGAAAGGTGTAGCAGACTGTTTGCAACATAATATGAAAGACATGTTCAAGTAGGATTTCAGTGATTTCTGTAACATCTGTATTTATATTTTGTACCATCGCTCATCTTAAAAGTTACAATGTTTTATTTATGAAGTTGTCATTATTTATCCGCTCTTTGACATTTGTTGATACTCTATTCACGATAATGCATGCTTGTATTGAGTTTTTTAAACTATCCTTTATTTACTTATTTAATAATTTAGAGTTAGTTAGTACTAGAGATGGAAAGCTTAACATTGAATTTGAAAGTATTGTAATTGATGCTGAGTAGGAGGGGCTGACTTAAAATGTTAATATTGGACTAACTGTTGGACAATGATATTCATAATTCAGCTGAGCGGTTTTGATTGACTGTATTTTTTCTTTTAATGTTATTTGGATCTTCTTGTCAAATATAAAAATATTACTAAAAAAAATGGCATATTGTTGAACAAACTGAGCTGTTGAGCACTAGCAGTTTGTACATTGTGCTAAAAATGAGTGTATCACAAAGGCCATATATGTTATCCAATTTATAATTTTATTAATGATAATTATAAGTTTTATCTTGTGCTAAAAATGAGGGTATCACAAAGGCCATATATGTTATCTAATTTATATTTTATTAATGATAATTATATGCTTACCTTTGATTGGTTCAAACATGAACTCTTCTCCCCAACTCTTCATCTCTTTCCCAAAAGTTATACTTCCTGACTAATCGTATTTACAGAGATTTTACCTCATTAGTTCTTAGTTTTGTTAAAGTTAGTAAGTATAACTATTTCAATGTTGTCTTCCAGGTTGCAGCCCTTGGTGCTATTAGCAACATAGTAGTGGACTTTACACCAAATAAGTCAACAATCATACAATGTGGAGGCATTAAAGAGCTTGTCCATTTGACAAAGTCTATGGATTCGTCTTTAAGGTTGAATGCTGTGTGGTCCTTGCGGAACATGATATTTCTTGCGGATAAGATGTGCAAGGAAGCAATTTTTATGGAGTTGACTGCTTCTTCAGTAGCTACCCTTATCTGTGATCCTGAGCCTTCTTGTAGAATATTGTAACATTTTTTGTAATTCTCTCAAGTTGTAGCAAACCAATGTAAATATTAAAATGAAATTTGGCCTTTGATGATATTTGAATTTTTCTTGTTTATTGGTAAAATTTGCACTTCTTTTTACCTTTGATCACATTTTTTTTGATATTATTGATGATTATTTGATATTAAATGTTTTTATTGTAATTAACTTTATTATGTTGAAAAGTGATAGAAAATAAAATAAAAATACTATAAATAAAAAAATATTAAAGTAAATAATAATTTAAATATAATAGTAAAATATTATAGTAAAATAATATTATATTTAAAATTATTTTACTAAATAATAATTTAAATAAAAATATTATTTGAAATTTATAAATCAGATTACGACGGTTAAAACCGCCGCAATTTCTAACCTACGGCGGTAGAATAACCGTCGCAAACAACAACAAAAACAAAAAATAAAGTCAAATTCACGACGGTATATAACCGTCGCTATCTGTTGTGCGTGACAGTTTTTGCAACCGTCGCGAAATAGGCTGGGGACGCACGATTCTGCGACGGTACTTCTACCGTCGTAGATTGTAAATTGCGACGGTTTTAACCGTCGTAGTCAGCCAAAATAACCGTCCCAATCTATCATTTTTCTTGTAGTGACTTGCCTTTGATTTTCAATTGTTTGAAATGGTGCTTTCAATTGTTTGAAATGGTGCTTTCAATTGTTTGAAATGGTGCTTTCTATGTGTGTTTGAAAATGTTTTGAAAAGAGGCTATTTGTTGTGGCAACCTTTGTAATGACCCATGTTTGGATGTATACAAAGGTGTATATCTTTTGAAAAGTTTCCAATGTTTTTGAAAGTTGTTTTGAAAGTGTTGTGATGTGTGGTTTTGAAAAATAGGCAAGTGTTTTTGTTTTGCAAGTTGGCAAGTAACCAAGAGCTATCTACCCTAAATTTCTCAAAGATCTTTCCTATGTTTTAACCCTTTTAACAATTTTGTTCCACCATTGTATTTGGTGGACAATCTTGTGTTAGGATGTTAACGGGACGGGCGCGGGTCATCGTTTAAACCATGATTGCAATGGTGCCAAGTGTCTTTGGAAACTTTTTCCTTTAAGGGACTTGATCGTTTTTAGGCAACTTTTGAAAGCGTCATCGAGGGACTATGATCATTTGATGTTGTTTTGTTTTGCCAAAGACACCTAACATGCAACATGGCCCATTATTGAAGGGAACAAGTGGAGTAGCCCTAGGGGTGCAAGTGTGATTGGTGTTGTCCATTTTCATGCTTTTTTATCTTTGAATTAGGTCAAGCTATTTGTTGTTGATTTTTGCATACAAAACCCTAAGTCTATCATGGCATATTTAGAAAGCTTTAAAATGCGGAATTAAAAGTCCTAAATTATTACACAATAATCATGGGAATGGGGGTACAAATGTTTAAATGGGGATGAGACTTAAATAGGAGAGTGGTATCCTAATATTTACAACCAAATCGAATCAATCGCAAATATAAAATGTATCAATATACAAAAATAAACAAATGTGTATGTGTAAATGTATTTGTGTAAGTGTATATAATTATTTACAAGTGCAATAAAAATAATAAAAAAGGTTGACTTTGGATATTTTCCTATTTAGGGCAAAACCCTAATTTTGCAAATAAATAGTATTTATTATTTATATACAATACAATATTTATTAATTATAAAAAGGAAGTATATTGTAAACAAGGTATTTTTGAGGTCAAATATTAATAAAAATAAAAATGTATTATTTTTGTATTTTTATCCTAAATATTCTAATAAATATATAAGTATTTATATTATTTACTAAATATATTAAATATATACAAAAATAAAATATTTATTATTTACAAAAAAAGTATATTTTTTAGAAAATGTTTTCAAAAGATAAGATAAAATAAAATCAGAAAATAAAAATGTATTTGTATTTATTTTTTAGTATTTAAATAAAAAGCAATATGTTTATTTATATGTACAAATTAAATAAAACAAATAAATGCCTAAAAAATACAAAAAGAAGGTGAAAAATATTTTTAATGTTTTTCTATATTTTAACAAAAATAAGAAGTCAGAAACAAAAAGAAAAAGTCAAAAAATGATAAAAATAAACACAATGGGCCAAGGGGGTGTATGTGTGAAAAGGTGGTGCAAATAGAAAGAACAACACAGGCCCAGCCCAAAGAGGCTTCTTCAACCTCCAGCCACTTCTGTTTCAAAAAACGCGCGTTTCCTTGCTTGATTCAAACATCCTGATTCTTTGATTTTTAGCACAAACTTATAACACAAAAAATGTCAAGCATCAAATCATGAATCCATACATACCAAGAACTTGATCTAACTCTCAGAAATGAGAGAGAATTTCTTCTCCCCCAATTCCCGACCTAGCTTTTTTTAGATATTCAGTTTCAAAATTCTCTTAATACACACAATATAAATGAAAAGTAATGACATGGGTAGCTTCAGGGCCATGAGCAGGACATAACTTCTTCACAAACCTAAGCCTAGATATGCTTGGATAGAGAGATAGAAGTTCAAAAAGCTTACATGTTCAGCTTGATTCGTGTATGACAATGGAGGTACTTTCAATGCAATGTGAGGACTTGTATAGCTTGCTTGAGGTCCAGGGATGCTTCCTCTATGCTTGGCTTGCTCTGAATCCTTCTGAATCAAGCTACATAAGTCAACCTGCACAGATGAAAAATGAAAATGGCACACTTGGCTATGGCTGTTACAGTTCCAGTTCAATGCTTGGAATAACTTCAATGGATGTTAGGGAGTGTGTTTGAAAAGGTTTCAGCCAAAACACACGATGGGAATGGACTGTGGGATTCAAACTGCAGCCTATGCCCTGTTTTGCCACAAAATTGTGTTTTTCTGCATATGGAGGTTTGAGAGATGGTTTGGTCGTGTTTCAGACTTGTTTTGATGTTTTGAATGTGCTCAAGAAGTTTGCTTAGGCTTGTGTTGACAGGAATGTGAAGTTGTTGTTTAGTTATGCAAGTTTCTTCTTTCTTAAGTCAAAAATGCAAAGTTAGGTTGTAGGCTACCACAGGCCCCTCAAGCATGTTGCCAATGTTAGTCTTGATCAGTGGGATATGTTTATGAACTTGTGCCTAAAAGATCTGCATTGTACCTCTTGATTTGTAAACTTGACATAAAGCCATGCTTTACAAGAATGGATAAAGTGCTTTTTCTAATTATGGATTAATCTAGCATGTATTGCCCAAATGGATGAAATAACAACTTGGCACAATGGTTTAGCATTGAATTATTGAGTAAGAAAGGGATTAGAGGCCTGTAACCTATCTTGGAACATGCTGAGTTCGAAAATGCAAAGTTATGAACATGTAATTTGGCCATGAACAAAGTGACTTTTGCCCATATTCACAAATTCGATTCTCCCTAACCACAAGGGTGTTTGAGAAGTTCTTGGACAATTTGGAAATCTTGGAATGTATACTACAATCCATCTTTGTAATGCAAGTTGAAATTCCAAGTGGAATCATGTGAAAAGTGGCCATGAAGTTGGGCAAAAATCCTGCCTAGAATAGGTCAAAAAAATTCTAAGTTAAGAATGTTTTGCACCCTTATTCCAAAAATCATAACTTGAGCTACAAGCTTATTTTGAGGAAACTTTGTAAATCAAAGTTGTATATTTTGCAATGTACTATAACTTTCATGTTTTGAGTTTTGTTTGAATCCAAATGTATCTTGATGAAAAGATGGGACAAAGTTAGGAAAAAATTAGGAATTTTCATAACTTAGAAAATTTCTAAGTTATGAAAATTCTTCATTTTAAACCCTAATTTGTAATTTTTGATTTCTTGATGAACAAGTTTCATAATTTGACATGTCTTGATGAAAAATGAATCTTGGCATTTGATTTTGACCAAAAAGTCAAAGTTTGACTTTTCAGTATACAGTCAAATTTGGATCAGTTGACTGGAAAATTCATCTGTCAATCTTGTACGTTTGGGATCTTTTGAACTTGTTAAACATGTCAAGACAATTCCATTGGGTCCTTGAGTCCATATGTGAGCTTGGTTTTCCATTGGCTAGGTCAAACAGTCAAAAATTGCCTTTGTGCAGTCAAAACCCTAAAAATGACCATTTTGCCCTTTTGGTGATCTGATCAAATTTCTTGTGGAATTGTGATCCAAACTTGATCAAATGGTCCATATGAGTTCATAATGTTGATGTGGGTCAAAAATCATGAGGTTTGACTGTCAATTGACCACAGTTGACTTTTTCCCCAATACAGCTGATTTCTAGGTCAACTGTCCAATTGATTGGGCAAAGATTGGAATCAAGGCTTGAAACTTGGTATGGATAAACTTGTGAGTCCCACATGAAACATGAAAGTCACTTTGGGCCTTTTAGGTCAAAACATCTTTGTGCAAACTCAAACCCTAATTTGGGTCAACAGTGCAAGGAGGAGTCTTGAGCAGAGCAAACCCTAACTTGATCTTGAGCTCCAAGGGTCTTGTGGTGAGAAAATTTTGAGGAAACGAGAGGGAAAATTTTGGGGTACAACACTTATAATAAATTTTGTACTTCTTTCTTGACTACATCACTTAGAATGGGATTTATTCTTCTCTGATGTTCTCTAGAGGTCTTATAGTTTTCCTCAAGCATGGTGCGATGCATACAGATGGAGGGACTTATTCCTTTTAGATCTGAGATGTTATAGCCTAAAGCAGTTGGGTATTTTCTTAGGACATGTAATAATTTTTCAGTTTCTATCTATCATAAATTTGCATTGACTATAATGAATCGTTCAAGTTCTGTTTCTAGGAATTCATACCATAGATCTTGAAGGTTTGAAAAACACAAGAGATGGGGGGTTTAATTGGATTTTAAACCAAAAAATTTCCTTTTAAAATCCCATTTTAAATCGTAACAAGTTACTTCACTTAGTGATAATAATGATAAGATACAAGAAGGAAAGAACAAGTTATGTTTATACTATTTCACTTGAAAACTATCAAGCTAGTCTA